GATTGGAAAAGAAAACCAGCACCCAGAATATCATGGAACTATAAGCCAATTGGAAACCGCTCAATAGCTACCCAAACAATAGTTGTATCAGCTATACGGATCATCAAATGTAACAAGAAGAGAAGAGCAATAAACAAGAATCCAACTGACCAATCTTCAATTTGTCTTCCAAATCATATGCTCAGATTACGCTATTACAAGTCCACACTAACTACATGTATGTCTGCATGTATAACTCCAATGTTCCCCAAATGAGCAGGATTCCGGACAGCAGAGCTTATATATTCATCTTCCCAACTCCAACAAGGCGCGCACTACCGAGCGTTACTTTTTATGATATGATGTATACGAAAAAAAATCATATGGTTTTTGACTTCTTATTGTTAAATTGAGTTGTTTTTTTTTTAATTATAAGTTAATCAAAACTTTCATTTTGTACGACCCAGAAAACAAAATGAACAGACATTTTCACATTGCTGCGTGACAGGAAAAGGAACGAAATTTCCAGCGGCTTATCTTGGGCTTGTCTGTCGATGAGAAGGCAAGTTACCATAAGATGGCCCTAATTATTAGGCAGCTAAGGAAGCAAAATTTTCACATTCAGAGTAGAATTTGAAGGGACCCGTTGGCTTCCCAAAAATTTTCAATCTTGAGATCAAACTCTTGTTGTTTGATTTCATTGGCTGCAGAATAATGATACGCATCCCACCTTATATGAACAACTTTCGTTTTACATTACTTGCGTGATTGTTTTCTAGTTTGCTGCTCCCTTCCCGCCTAGCTTCGGGATATTGAAAACCCTTACTTTTTTTTTTCCAGCTTCGTATTGGAGCCGAAGAAAAATATAATTTTTTTGTCATTATTGACATGTGTAAATTAATTGAGATAGTTTTTTTAATATAATAAGGAGACCCAATGCCGAAATGAGATGCAACATAAACAAGTTGAATTATCTTAAAAATAATTAATATACCATTAAAGTTGTTATGGTTATTTGCATTTTCACTGATACATTAAAACTTCTAGTCCTGTAATTCAACCCCCCCCCCCCCCCCAAACCCAAAAAAAAAAAAAAACCTCTATTACCTCAACATAAGAAGGATCCTATACATGATTTTTTTTTTTGGGGGGTGTGGGGTGGGGGTGGTTATCCTTGTTATGCTCTTCCCCAGATAATGATCAAAGACTGGTAAAAACTGGGTGATGAAGGATATATAGGTGGCACGTTAATTTGGTATATTCCACATTTTTTTTCCTCTTATGGCGTACTCTTTAATGCAGTTGCTGTTCGACTATATGCTGTAAACATTATGGTGTTTTATAGTAACAACATATAGCCTATATATGGTTGTCCACTTGTTCATCAATTTGAGTAAGGTAATTGACAAATTGTTGAACTCAGTGGCAACTATAACCTATCTTGAGTTATTATTAACGTCTGAGCCACTGCAGCACGATTGGCTTGAGTTTATGGAGGATTCTTTAATATCGTACAAATTTAAGGTAGGATTGTTTGGATATCAATTGCCATCTTGGTCTGCCTCTTCATGTTTCAAAGATTTGGGACGGACAAAGTGTGGTGGGCTACACATTTGCCCCCATGATTTTGGTTTGGTTCAGGTTTAACGCTGAGATTTTCATCAAGTACGATCCCGCGGTTGTCAAAGCTATAAATCCAGCATACATAATTGATTACTTCAGAAGGAATAAGAAAGATGCCTGGATTACCCATGGCCGAGTTGTTCTCGCCATAACAGGTCAGCTCACCATTAATCTATATCTAATTAAGCTTTGTCAATCAATACATAGTACCCAACTCCTTGTTCATGCTCTGAATCGTACAGTATAAAGTGTTTAACACAGGAACTGAAGCGTTGTTCGTGGATGTCGGGTACTTCAGTGTGGCTCCATACAAATAAGCATGTGTACTGTGACTTAGCCGGCACTTGTATTGGCATATACTGGACAGGCTTCGTTTCCCCTCAAGCACGGCTTTGATGTTTCTGAGACGTTGTACAAGTTTATTCCAGGTTTTAACAAGTGGTTAATTACCGTCCATATTCGTGCCCTTTATTTTAGTTTAATTTTAGTTTTGATTTCTCATCATTCTAATCGAACATTTGATTACAGGCCCTGTGTATTGGCCAATGTTTGTGGTGGCTGTCCTGGCGTCAATCAAGCCATGATTTCCGGGACATTTTCCATTATATATTCAGCAATCCCTTTCACTGGGATGCCTTCCTCGTGTTAAAATTTCCCAAACATCAACCAAGTATGAAGGCCGAGTTTGTATCCCTGAAATGAATTACCTTTTGATGCTGGCTTGTGTTGGATGTAGGACAACCCAATAGATTGGCAATGCATATGGTAACTAACAAGCCACCTCTGTCTTTTTTTAATTTCTCAATCTCGTGTAGTCTGGTGGACTGATGTATAATTTATTTATATTTATGCAGGAATAGCTGTGGTTTTTGTAATGACCCTCGCATCCTCATTTCTGGCACTCATCATGATTATGATATGGAAAACCAACATTCTTCTTGTGATCTCGTACGTTTTACTCATCGGTTCTGCGGAGGGAGATTCTCTACATGAGCTTGGTTCTTTACAAATTCGATCGGGGAGGATATATACTTGGCATTAGCTTTCGCTATGGTCCTAATGTTTGTCATGTTTGTTTGGAACAATGTGTATCAGAAGAAATGCTGCTTTGAATTAGAACACAAGGTACCAGCACTCCACTCAGTCCTGGTTTTTGTATCCGTCAGGTCGTTACCTATTAGCAAAGTTCCAGTAGAAGAGTGGTTCCTTTTTCGTATGTGTATGTGTTCCGATGCACTGAGATATGGATATACGGATGTGCGCAATGAGCAAGAGAGGCCTTCGAAAGAATGTTGGCTGAAAGGTTGAAGGAATTTGCATCTGAGGGAGGACTTCAAGTTCTCTGTCACGACGAAAGATATTCCCGGGAAACAGATGATGAGAAGTAGATGATGGTTGGGGCGGCGCCGTTGAGAAACCCTTTCAGGCTGAGGATGCAAAAGAAGCTGAACGTACGGGTGAAGCAACAAGAGGCAGTGCAAAGAGATCGACATTGAATTGCCGGATCAGGCATGGCATCGGAAAGTGATTGCAGGAAAGGGCGCTAGCATCGGAAAGATGATGGATTGTGCTTACAACTTCTTGAAGAGGCAATGCAATAAATCCCTCATAAGCGAATGCACAAATTAGTGGGAATGATTTACGAGCTGTAGAATAAATAAATAAAAGACACAAGGACTAGTTCGCCAAGTGTTTTTTTTTCTTGGCGCATCACTATTGATGGCATTGGGTTGGCATAGAAAACATGTCACTGAGGATCCCAAGTGCTCCCCAACGCCATATTTTCTAAATTCCAGTTCTACATCATAACACATATTATAGCGCATTTGACTTGAAAAAAACAAAGAGAAGCTAAGAAAGAAAGGCGTAGAACAAGTGGAACACAAATTTACACCGTGCTCTTGAAGTTTGAATTGAGACCAACAATAATTCTTAACCTAATTCGTTTAAGCGTGGCTAATAAATAATGGAAAGCGGTCTATATCCGGATGATGTTTACCGCCGAAACAAACAAAACGGTATTGGAATAAACAAATTAAGGAAGGGAAGAGTAAAAACATATACTACATCTAAACTTCTGCCTCTCATGATCAGACAAACCCTAGAGAAACTTGATCTGCTCCTCTACTTTAACTTCCTTTGTCTCTTTCCAGTTCTATAGACCAATTTATAACAAGGCTACCAATGTTCCCGTACATTAAAAGTCATCCTCAGTCGTGGGAACATGGCCCGGCCGGTCAGCTTGAAGGGAAAGAAAATGGCAGCACGATAGAGACCTGATTGGGGTTTCCACTACTAACTAAGCATTTTTTGTACTACTAGTAAACTAAGTAGTGGTCCCAGTATCTAGGGTTTCCAAAGAAGCTTTTACCCCGTTTGGTTGAAGCTATGCCCTGCGCATTACTCGGTATTTTTAATTAGTTCTACAAACCAAGCGAAGGTTAACCACGAAACTTTACTATGGTAAAACTGAACATACACTTGTTTAACCTCTCTTGAGTTAATATATTCCCAACGCCAAATTTACAAAGCAATGCTACCGTGGCAAGTTCTTGATGTGGATCAGCTTTCCTGTTGATAAAACCGGAGAAACTGGAGCTCGGTTTCAAATTCTAGAACGGCAAATTTGTTCATCAAGGCATAGCAGTTGACACTAGCTAGGCTAGTTCAAAACTTACAATAAATTAATCTGGGGCAGAAGCGCAGCTTTTCGGTACATGGCTGCACCAAACTGCATAATTAATTACACATTGATAGCTATGTTTTACCAGATTTCAAGCATAAACCATTTGTAGCTATTCAATCAACTTGAAAATAATGCAATAAAATTTTACGTGTAAGATGTAGGTAGCTTAAGAGCCAAAAGAATGCCTCCTTACAGTTACTTCGTCTGCGTATATACCGGCTAAGCCTGAATTGACTGACTATCGAGATTCAGAGACTAACGCTATTGCTTGATTTTGAATCGACTCAAATTGTGAATGAATCTGTTAGTAACTAATCGGACCATCCTTTCAAAATTACTAGTTGTTGGAATAAATCTATTACCAACTTATTAGAAGAAAGCATATTCTGCAGAAACCTCAAATATTTCACAAGATACAGAAGCTACCGAGGTCTCTGGAGGTTTATTCACAGAATTCTTCATAAGAGCACTCAAAAAAGAGCAAACTGAAGACTTATAGTCCTACAGTGTAAACGTTCCCTACAAGCAAGCTATCTGCCCTCTTGATCTCCTTTCGCTGATCCAATCCAGAAGACGAAGGCAGCATCACCCCCCCCCCCTCCAGAAAAAAAAGGAGAAAAAAAAGGACGAAGAAGAAGAGGAGGAAATTGTTATGACAATCATATTTTTTGAAACAAGGAAAACGATTGGAACTTACTACTTGAAATAGGCCGCCCCTAAAAACAGCTCCTCGAGAGAGAGTTGCTACTCTCATCCATGAAGTTGAAATTAATTGACGTTGGGGAGACGTGAGTGGTAATTTTCCTTGGTTCTGCTAAATTTTGATTCATCACCTTTTCTTCACTATTGCCAGACTTGTTCTGATTAGCTCTCTCCCCTTCTAACTCTCTAAACCTGTTCAAGTACCTTTTTAGGGGCTCCGCATACTCATCGAAACCAAGGCTTCCCAAGGCCCAACATATGTCATCCCCGTTCACAGTTTTTCTCTTCTCTTTGTGACACTTGTCAGAAGCTTCTCCAGTAACAAAACTAATGAACTCAGAAGCACATTCTTGCATGGTTTCTTTAGCTTCTTTGGAGATTTTGGCGTTTGCAGGCAGGATCTGCTTCATTATCCGGCCCACGTTAGCTATGGGAAGAAGCCGATCTTGCTCTTTAATGACCATCCCATCATCCCCCGACCCACTGCCTGCAGCCACCGAAGCCTTGTACTTGTTGAGGGCCTCTCCCTCTCCCTCCCCCTCTATAATACTATCAACCATTCTAGAAGAGAGACCACCGCTCAAACCTCTTAAACAGAGACACGTTGTTCTCTTGTGTCGTTAACTTGCCTCTTTATAGATACAAATTAACATATTATGACTAGGTTACAAGTACGTCAACTGTACATGTGCCCTTCACTTCTTCTTATAGTATACTCCTATTATATATAATGCGAAAATCATCCTCAGGAAGATCAACCCAATTGGTTGCGTGGCTTAATCAAAGATTATAGCAAGCAAATAGTCAGCATTGCTCCAAAGACAGTGGCAGACAAATTTCCATTCATGGTACGCAGTGTGCGAGTTAGGTCACTTTTCTTAAGTATTACAATTACTAAAAAGGATGGCCCGGATGCTAAAGTAATAATATAATTGCAAAGCCAAAACCCTAAAGAGAAAGACTCGCCCTTATCAATTCCAGATCTTATACATGGTCCCCCCCCCCTTCCCCAAAGTTATTGTCATTAATCTCTAATGCTCTCAATAAGTCTGCTAAAACTCTTTTAATACTTTTGTTTGTTTGAAAGTTTGTGGATAATAGGAATGCACGTGTGCCTGTTCTACAGTACTTACGTGCTACCAAACAGGATCTAAAAGGTGCCGTTGGAAGCTGATCAAATTGAGAGCTGTGACACTTGTTGGATTATCTACTAGTTTTTTTGGGTTTTACTTTGACCAAGATCTACTTACAAGGCCTTTAAGCAGCAGACGCAGGCCTCTGCTAGGGGGACTCCGGACTTGACCTTACCCAATTTCATGTTGCTAAAGTGGTGAGCTGTGTCATGCGGATGCATGATCTAATTGTATGTCAGCAAAGTGGTTATTGGTGAAAACTAAGTTGTAGGTCATAATCCTGAGAGTCATGGCAAAGCATTGCGGCAGTTACACATTGAAAATGACTTGTTCAGGTTCATTTTAAACATCAGAACAGCCTCTCGATATATGTGATTTATTTGTTTATCAAAATTTGCTCTTGCTTAATTTGTTAAGGCACGAGTCATCAGGTGCTCATGCATTGCAAAATGAAAGATAATTGTCTCTGAAGTCGAATCTCTTATGGGTAATTAAAACCCCCTAATCAAGATGCAGGTATAGAGTGTCATCTGGGGTGAACTATTGATTTTACATGTCACTGTTGATTTCTTATAGTTTGATTAGTATTGTTGATTTTTTTTTTTAAGGCAAATAAACTTCTTGCATTAATCATAGCAGAAAATCATATCTCACACATGGTGATGGAGACCTTGCTTTACATGGTGTGGTTTAAGAACGAACCTACTCAAAACAAGACTCTTCTTACATTTCTCCAGCTTTCCTAATTAAGCAAACAACAGTGAGCTTTTAAGAACATGCACTCTTAGCTGATACTTACAGCCCCATCAATCCATGATGACTCGCAACCAAGGGTTACAAACAAAAAGAAAGAAAGAAAGCAACAGTCTTAAACACTAATTAAGAGCTAGGATTTTGGCATTTTTGCTACTTTGACTTCACTGTAATGGCATTTTATCATGGTTTGCGTGTGTCATCACATCTTACAAATAGGAAGAGCAGAAAGGGGCAAATAGTCTCTAAAGCACCCTTCCTTGTCGTGTCAAGGAAATGCATATTGTTCCCCAGCCTGTTTGCTAGTATATATACATAGTTTTACTGCCAAGAGAATTGCTTGGTCACCGAATATTAATGAGTGTCAAAGCAAACCTAGTATTGTACTACCTCGTTTGCTACTATCAGTGAACATGATGTGGTCCAGGATTACAAAGGGGCTCTATTTAACAAATCATATTGGAAGCACTAAGAAGGGCGAATAATTAGAAAGACGCACATTAGCATCTAAGGCTTGTTTATTTTATTGGAAAATTCCTGCTCCTTTCATCCCTCCGTTCAGGTCATAGCGTCGAAATCAACCGAACTCTACACCTCTCTAAAGTGAGGAATCAAAACAACTGGGAACAATTGACGCAAATATGCAGTGGGGATTATACGTATTCTAGGTTCCATCGTCCATGTAGTAGTAGGAACCCGAGAAAGTCTTCACTGCAAAACTTAATTTCCATACCAATCAGTGCAGTGCTTAATAATATTCAAAATATGAAGCCATCTCTCGACAAGTTGATGTACTGAATGGGCCTCTCGACTCCTGGAAAAAAAAAAAACCCCTTGAGTTTCGGGAAAGGTATTTTTTTATAAGATATAATCAGTCCTCATATTATCATCGAGTGCATAATGTGTCTGTCTTGTTTAAATTAAAGGTCACAGCTTCAACTTTAGTTGAGATTCCAATCCAACGCTGGCTGCATCACAGATTAGTCTTTGCTTTTGGCGGCATCTGATCTTACCAGATGGGTGGTATTACTGGTTCATAAGTATCTGAAGAGTTTTGAACCAACCTTAACAAAGCTTTCTAGAAGCCAAAACCTAACGACGCTCTACTTTTATTTTTTGCGTTAGATCAAGTAAACTTCCACTTTCGGACAGCCTGATCTGACCTTCTTTCTAGAACAGTTTTCTTATCCATGTTTCTTCCTCCTCCTTGACATCATTGTACCTACCCATTACACCATAAAATAAAATATTTTTCTCCAGAAACGAACCAATTTAATGAGGTCGTTGTCAAAAGACTTGACGACATAGTTAATTCATTCAAGTATGCATACGGGATCAAGTATACCCTTGATCTCTATATCTATATAAATTTTGAGAATGGATTTTCAGCAATAAGCCTTCAAGCATCTTCCCACTCCCAATTCCATTTTCTAATATTTCACATTTATTATAATTTATAAAATATATTTCTCTCAACTTCTGCATCTACTCTTCACATTTAAAATTATTGATTGCTTTTTAAAATCATTCAAATTGTTAGTTAATGTGCATGTGCATGTTATCTTATTTGAAATTCAACATATCTCGTTTCCTAATTGTCATGCGTTATTTACGATTCTACTCCAATTAAGACTTCTATAAGACCATAATAAGAGATGACAAATATAACATCCTTTCATGCCACTTAAATTTAAATAAGTAAGAGAGAATGTTATTTACACTCCTATAATCATTTTGATCATATAGTTTTCATTAATTAGACTATATGATAAAATAAATGATGAGAGTGCAAAAATAAAAAATGACGTGCAAATAACATTTTTCTAAGTAAGAAGCGTCTTTCATGCCCTTTTAATTTAAATAAGAAAGAAGTGGCTCCACCACTTTATATAGGAATGTGGTTTGAAGTTTATTAATGGGAAGGTAAGTAAGAAGAAAACATTACCAAAATTAATAAAAGTAAAAAAGTAAATGACAATATTTTATTTTTTAACTTAGTAATCCTAAGTAAAAAGGAAAAATTAAAAAGAAAACAAAAAGGAAATAATATTCATTAGTCGTGGTTTTAAAAAATCAAGAATTGTACCAGTCATGAAATCACTAAATAAAAAAACAAAGTGCTACTAGTCTTTTAACGTAGAAATTTTTGTTTGAAATATTCATTTTTGATAAAAAAAAAATAATGATAATAACAACACCAATTCTAACAAAAATTTAAAAACAAAAGTAACATTACAGTTTAAGAGAAAGATATAGAACATTCGACCCTAAAATACTACTTAATTTGTATATATCTGACCCAAAATTGACTGTGATTAGATTTGGATAAGAGTGTAAAACCCAAACACTAAGGATAACTTTGGATATCATTAATTATTTTATGTATTCTTATTGCTGTCTTCATATGTAAATATGTAATTGCTATGTTATATATATATATTGATTGTAGCACTTGAAGGTATTATAAATATTATCAAATTTTCTTTTCCATCTTTAGATGCTAATAACTACAACCATTGTAATCAATTTTTAGTTTCATATTTTCATTATAGTAGGTCAAGTTAAATATATTGGGCAGCAGGAATATGAATGTAGAGGTTGGGGGAAGGGGAAGAAGAAAATGGGGAGGAGTTGAAGAGTGGCGAGAAAAGTTGAAGAAGAAATGTGGGTTACAGAAGGAGAAAAGGGGGAAGAAGAAAAGGGATGATTGTAGGAATATGACAGAAATGACAAAAAATAATAGAGAGAGTTCCAAACCCGACCCGGATCCTAAAAATGTTTCCGGGTTTGGGTTGAAAAATAAATCTGATACCCGAACTCGGATCCAGACCCGTTTAATCTAACAAAAAAACAAGTTGATTGTAGAATATAGGATTCCGATTCGTATTCGACCCAAATTTGAACAATATATTAATAATTATGAAATATAAATATTTCTAAATACATTCTTTTACCAAATTAACAATTGAGTAATGACTTTGTAGATTGATTTGTGATTAGTTTTGGATTGACTATTGCGAGGTATTTGTGATTTAGCTTTGTAATTTGATTTGTTTAAGTTTGGAGATTGGATTTGTAATTGGTTTTGGATTTAATTTTGAAATATTTAAATTTGGACCTTTAGACCCGAACCCATTGGATCCGATTCTAGGACTGTAAGGTCAAGAGTCGTCGGGTATACGGGTCAGGTCCAAGTCTACTACATAAAAAACAGGTTTGGATCCTAAATTTTCAATTTCAACCCGAACCCGACTCATTGACACCCCTAACCATGATATGAGGTATAAAAGTCGTAGGAGGTAGCTAATGACTAACTAGCGGATAAGAGATGAGGGAAAAGATGTTGATTTTTAATAATTTTGAGAACTCTAAAACAACATATTATAGAGATTTATTTTTAAAATCTACGTTAAAGTTTATGAAAAATACTCATCTAAATGCAGTCAACAATTTTAGAGGCATAAGATAGGAGAAAGAATTTTTTTCTAAAAATTGAAGAAAATAAATTGTTTATAATTTATTTTCTTATATTATAAGTTTGGATATACAGGCATAATATAATTTTTTTGTCGGATATTGATAA